CCCCCCCCCCCCCTTAACTGCAAATTAACTGCGATGATTGTACATTAGGATAAATAAATAAATAAATAAATAAATAAATAAATAAATAAATAAATAAATAAACGTTGTTTAACCATCCCTCTGAACGTTCAAGTTTACATTTTCGAGGACATAAGTTCCACAGTCAGCAAGCCCTAGACCATCTCAGGCCCCCGCTGTTCAAAAGTACAGTTCGATAGCGCTATCTAACGAATTAATCTTTATCCAGTGGACAACAAAATTTATCCACCGGATAGTAATTTACCCGGTGTCCTATACAGGGTATGTATTTTAAGATTGTTTTGTTCTAAACAGGGTCAGGATTTCAAACCATCAGAGGCTCATCTATAACCAAATATTCTTCGAGCACCTCCCCCCCTCCCCGCCCGGGTATAAACCCCCTTATGTAAACCTTAGTTACACAACGCCCCAGGAGCTCGATCAATCAAGGGACTTAAGGTAATTCTCTTGTTTTGCACTGCGCTTCACCTACTGTGCACAACATTGCGACTTTAAAGGTGGCGATGACTTTCACCGGGCGCAAAAACAGTATCAAATGCCCCTTTTATAATCAAAATGGTTTAAATAGCGATTTTGATAACTCTACACGGCTAAAAATTATAAGTTGTTTCTCTTGAAACTCGCGCCAGTTCCTTCGCGAAAAATGATCATTTGAAGCCGGCCGAAATTGTCCCTTTGTTGTCTTTTGCGATAAAACGAAAACGGTGCCCCCTTTTTTATTTGTATTTTTTATTCGTTGGGGCAACAGAAAGAAATATATCTTAAATTACAGAAAAAAAATCTAGTTTGTAGAAGTTGTAAATTTTTGGATAGGAATGACGTGTAACACGGCATCTAGAGCCACAGAGAAGTAGGACTGAGATGATGTTAAAACTGTCCATTTCTCTTCTTTTTTTCAAGATCGGATAATTTGAAGCCATTTTACTGAAACATTATATCCCAGACAAACAAACGGGTTTTAAGTTTTAGTAAGATTCATATTTTTTGCTATATGATAACAATTTTTCACGGTTGTTGAAGTTTCGAACTCATAGGAAAAGACACTCAGAATAACAGGCAGACAGCCGGAGCAAAGACAAGCAAAGTCACCCCATCTCTTTATTGCAGTTTTTGAGTGTCCCATATATGGCTGAGAATTGTGCCAAGTTTGAAAAAAATGTGGATTGTACGTCCTTTTCAAGGGAATTACCTTAAGTGTCAACTAGACTACAGTGGGTGTAAGTATTAGTTTTATTACGTCTGGAAGGTAAAAATAACTCCATTGACAATTAGCCGTCTTTGTCCCGTCACCTAACTCTCCGGAAGAGATGCGTTAGGAGACAAGAACGGTTACGTGCGAGGCTATTGGCAATGGGAGCGCTTTTAAATTCATAAGGTTAAAAATTCAAAACGTATTACTTTGAACTGAAAATATTTAATTCACTTTTGGAGCCAAAATAACCGTTTGAAAATTCTACGGGTACTTACCACCATTTCCATCATTTCCCTTCCTATGGTGTTTGGATCCTGTAGAGACAAATGGACCTATCTTGATGGAGCGTTCTTACAATGACAGTCTTTTATTCAACATGTTGAAAAATATCATGGAAGAATGAGAGAAAAAAATGAATATGCAGTCGACTCTCTCTTAACGGACACCTCTATAAGACGGACACCTCTGCTAAACGGACACCCAGAGTTGGTCCCTGTCTTTCTTTACTCCCTTTATTTCACTCTCTCTAAGACGTACACCTCTGTTAAACGGACACCTAGAGTTGGTCCCTGGCTTTCTTTACTCCCTTTATTTGACTCTCTATAAGACGGACACCTCTGTTAAACGGATACCTAGAGGTGGTCCCTGGCTTTCTTTACTCCCTTTATTTGACTCTCTATAGGACAGACATCTCTGTAAAACGGATACCCAGAGTTGGTCCCTGTCTTTCTTTACTCCCTTTATTTACTCTCTCTAAGACGGACACCTCTGTTAAACGGACACCTAGAGTTGATCCCTGGCTTTCTTTACTCCCTTTATTTGACTCTCTATAAGACAGACATCTCTGTAAAACGGATACCCAGAGTTGGTCCCTGCCTTTCTTTACTCCCTTTATTTCACTCTCTCTAAGACGGACACCTCTGTTAAACGGACACCTAGAGTTGATCCCTGCCTTTCTTTACTCCTTTTATTTGACTCTCTATAAGACGGACACCTCTGTAAAACAGATGCCCAGAGTTGGTCCCTGGCTTTCTTTACTCCCTTTATTTGACTCTCTGTAAGACAGACATCTCTCTAAGACGGACACGGAGTGCCGGTTCCAGAGCTGTCCGTCTTAGGGCCTTTTTATATGAGCCCGGTTGACCAGGCAGGCCCACGAAGGGCTCATATGAACAGGCCCTCTTAAAGAGAGTCGACTGTATAATTAAGGACCTGTTGTTGCTCTTGGATTTCTAAACTAATAGTCCATTTCCGAGTTCCAAAAACTGTCACTTTCAAAACGAGGCTAGGTGCAAAACCTTTCTTCTGAAAATGAGTTCTATTTGCATGAGAATAAAAAACCACTTTCATGAACTGTATCAATGGTTTCGCACTTAGCCTCGCTTTGAAGCAGAGGCTTGGGGCAACACGAAATTGGCCTATTAGCCCCTCAACATTGATTAGCTGAACTTGCTGAAATTTTCATACAGCCACCAAGCCAGATGTCGTCTGTTAAAGTTACGTATTCTAAGAGTAAACTGTTTACTTTTTAGAACAAATCTTGCGACCGGTGCGTTTGAATCGTTTGATTGACGGAAAACTGTAACCAAGTGGTGTTTATTTCGAAGGTCGCCTAGCAGTGAATGGTATACAATAGAAAAATGAGAAAGGAAATATCAGAGAGGAAAAAGAGTGATTATGTGTCCGGCCTGGCATGTTTTCATTTCGGCTGTATGGATGTACTGACTTACCAGCCCACGCGAAACACACGTACTGATCTGTTGTGACCGTTAGTTTTTCGGGAACAAAACGGTATTCCATAGAAGGAAAAGCTTCTTCAATATTTCCCCTCTTTCCTATTCCCAGGATGTATTTAATAGGTTGGCTGGTTTTCAGGTTCCCCTTATGTGGGACCAGATTGAAAACATGTGATCTGTCCTCGAAGGTGCTAGGAATATAAATAGCCAAATAAATACAAAGTCGATGAGCTAAATGATTGAATAAATAAATAAATAAATAAATAAATAGGAAATGTTTTTCCTTGATTAAAAGCCCATACCGAATGGAGAGTTTTCTTTCATGATCACGTGGCCAGCAACTACGTAATGTTTTAACAATGCATATTTGCTAATTAAAAAAGATGGTGAGCTGAGACCAATTCCAGTGACCAGACGAAAATATTGTATTACGGTCGTTTAAAAGTGTTCAGGGAATTGAAAAAAGATCATTGAACGAAAAAAGATGAATAGAAGAGGAAATAAGCTACAAAGCCGATTGATAGTGGAAATCGGNGTCGATCAGCTAAATGATTGAATAAATAAATAAATAAATAAATAAATAAATAAATAGGAAATGTTTTTCCTTGATTAAAAGCCCATACCGAATGGAGAGTTTTCTTTCATGATCACGTGGCCAGCAACTACGTAATGTTTTAACAATGCATATTTGCTAATTAAAAAAGATGGTGAGCTGAGACCAATTCCAGTGACCAGACGAAAATATTGTATTACGGTCGTTTAAAAGTGTTCAGGGAATTGAAAAAAGATCATTGAACGAAAAAAGATGAATAGAAGAGGAAATAAGCTACAAAGCCGATTGATAGTGGAAATCGGGTAATGGCTCTTGAAGGAACTAAAACTTGAGCTGTATTCTTGCTTAGATCTTCTCAGTAAAGCTTTCCCGGACTGGACCAAAGACAGACGAAATTTTAGAGTTTGAGAGAAAAAAATTACCGTAATTACAACTGACACAGTGGTTGTTCCATCTCAACAAAATTGTTGATCGGCGTTGTAATTGCCAGAAAAAAGGACTCCTTGGCGTAAGTTAGGGTGCTATTAGTACTTTTTATTTAGCGGAATTGTCAGTTTTTAGCTACGGTGTGGGAGTCAGGAGATAGGTGTTACTTATTGCTGTGCGATGTCAAAGATAAAATGAATGGGAGATAGGGAAAGCAGTATAAGGCTTTAAAAAAAGGACGAAAGCAAAGGTTGAAGGACAAAATTGCTTCTTGACTAATTCTTCAAACAGAGAGCGAAGACATGTACAGCTTTAACTGCTAAGCAGTGATAGTTATTACCCGAGGGGGAGGGGGCCTAACAAAAGGGGAGGCTCCGACCAGCGGTCCAACCCCTTACCCTTTCATATACTATTTTTTGAGAGAAAAGGTACCCATTTCGTTATACCTTCTATAACAAATGGTGCCCCTTTCACATAACTATTTAAAAACTTTGCATTCCCTTTAACTGCTAGACTGAATGCACCGTCTTTTAAATATGAATAAATCACTAAACCAGGACGTTTTTTTTGTCTTTTTCACAGCCATAAGATGCGTCTGTTAGCTCTTTTAGGTCCTTTTTACGACCAAAATAGCAGATTTCCCTAAACTTTTATACACTTGAACTAGCAAAATCCCTCTGAGCGACCTTTTCGAAGGGGGCCTTAAAAAAGAGATTGAAGCCGTAATCGTGACAGCTCAGTGGCGAACAAATGAGCAAATGAGAGTGTTTTAGACTTGACAAACCACGAACTTTCAGCTTATTGAACCACTTCAAAACTTGCACTAATATTCAGTTTTGGGGTTATTTTGCCTAAGGAAATTGGACTTAAAGTTTTATGATCAATAAATTCCTTTGTATAGATATTTTTTAAATGAGCTTTTGAAGTACCTTGGTTAGTCAGAGGTGATGCCAATGAAAAGAAAAAGTCTATGCCTGTTACTTACCGTTTCCCTTCACCGCCCTCGAGCTCGAACTGGTATCTGCAAAATCAAATGGCAACAGGAGGCTCCATAAGTATCTAATTCCATTGTTATTTCGGATCAATTAACTGCCCACCTACCCATCCCCTAAGCCAACATTTTTCCCTAAATGAGAAGTGAGTGTTGATGTGGGCTTAAGGGAGGAATTAAGCTCCCCCAATCCTAACGTCCTTATTGAATGTAGACTGTAAAGGAAATAAGCTATAAGTACTTGAAGAGTAGTGAAAGAACTTGACCTAAGGGTGGCATGTAATTGCAAAGCGTGGCAATGGTGGCGAAGAAATTGCTTGTAGATGACAAAATAATTCCAATTTATGACTTTAATAAATAAAGTTGTCGTTGTTGTTGTATCATAATGATATCCACTCTATGTAAATTTTCGCTCTCTGCAAGAAGGAATCACAAACTTTAGAGCCATTCATTACTGGTGACATTTGGAGGTTTTAAAATAGGAGCTGTCAACGAGTTAGGAGATATAAATCGGGCTAGGCGGCTTTCTTGGGTGGCTACCTTTTCTGCTATATGATCTTTCTAAATTCTACTGTCCATTTTTTTGTCGATAATTTGTCGAACAATTAACAAAGATAAATTAACACACCTTATCCGTAGCACACAACAAGATTTTTCTCTTTTATGAGGAGGCCTCCATGTGTAGTGGTAATGCCAGCTGTCCAACATGTCAAACTTGTTAATTTTTTTCAAATCAATGTCTACGGACCCTTTTGAGATGAAAAAAAAAGTGATATCTCATTGGTTACTTTAACGTCACGTGAAAGTTTAACAATGAAACTCACCCGCCAAAATCTCCGAGTGGGCAGCATTGCGAAAGGTAACAGTGCACTGTTACGCGCGAATGTTGACCGACGACCGCCCTTACAGCAAGGATTAATGAACTTCCAGCTTTAATTTCAATGTTTGTCAAACACTGAGATTTTATAGGAAAACAAAATTAACTGTTTCCCTCGCGACAAGTCTTTAAGTGTTTATTTATATGCCTGATGATTAGAGAGAGACCCATATATCGAGGTGACAAGTATAAATCATTAAATTCCGGAAATCCTCTACTCCTGGATCTATCTAGCCTGTAATTAAGCCCTCTTTATACATATCCGTATCTCCACAGTTAAAAAAGAGGGGGGGGAGCCTGATCGTAGGAACCTTAAGTAAGACATTTTCAATTGACTCCCGTCAAGCGAAGGTGCTGCTCGCTCTTTCCCTTTTAATTTGCCTTGACGCTGCTAAAACATTGTATTGTTAACTGTCTTCACTCTAAGAATATTTCGTTCGAATCACTCGAGCTTTATAAACGATGTTAAACAAGGTTGCGTAATAGAAAGGTTGTTACCAAGAGAGGATAAAGCTCAGAGAATGAATCCCTCATATAGGCCCTAAACACATCGTAATACCTCGAAAGCAAGAGAGGATAAAGGGGACAGAGAAGGCATCCCCCATATACACCCTATTCCATAGGTAATTCGTCTCGAGTTATTTTTAGAATCGGGATAAAGTTACCTCGCGCGCTGCGTGGATGTTTCGTGGAGGTTTCGCATGACTAAACGCCGTGCAAAACATGTCGGGCGAAGGGCAATGAAAGCGTAAAGAGATCGAGAGCATTTCTGAATATTGAAGCGAAATGAGTCGGCGCTCACCTGGGAAAAGGGAATCGCTCGACTCTTTGACAACCCGTGAAATCAGTTTAACTCGAAGTTATCGTAACCTCAGTGCTTTAACAAAATGAGAAATTTCGCCGGTCTATTGAAACCGGTCGTTTGTACAATAAAGCAAGTAGCAAGTAATATTCATGTACATGTCATTAGTTTTACAAATTTGAATTTCATTGTAGTTTTTTAAGTTGTTAAGCGCTGTTGATCAGTGAATGTAAATAGCGCTCTAGAAGTTATTAAATTGTCATTATTATTATTATAGAACGCCAGTGTTATTTTTGTTGAATAATAAAAGACTAGTGAAAGAATAAATATCAAACCAGTAATTGCTCTCTTCAAACTGTAAATTATAAATGATCCTGAGAGAATATTCAGTGTGTTAAGGATTTCCCTGCTGTACTGTTAGCTCTATGCAAGAGAGGAAGGGCAATTCTTTTTTAATTTTCGTTTCGCTGACACAGCTTTAGCAGAAATCTCTCGTTTTCGTCGACAAAACGAATAGCAATATCGCTCTCCGCGTCTTCCGCCATTTTTTTCTACCTCAATTCGTGAAGGACGCGTGGCTCTGAGCGTGGGTCATCCACGCGGAACACATTCGCCCTATGTGATTGGCTGTTGTCCAATCCCCCTTGGGATCTGTGGTTTTAAAAATAACTCGAGACGAATTACCTATGGAATAAGGTGTGTACGGAGGATGCCTTCTCTGTCCCCTTTATCCTCTCTTGCTCGAAAGTTATTTTTGGAGCGTAAAGCCCGGTTTCCATATGATCGCTACGATCGCTGAGAAAAAAAAGGTTCAGCGATCGCAGCGATCATAGCGGTCATATCGAAACCGGGCTTTACGCTCCAAAAATAACTTTCGAGGTATTACGATGTGTTTAGGGCCTATATGGGGGATTCATTCTCTGAGCAGCGATCGCTGGAGAGTGGTTTCCATAAGATTGCTATGATTACTGCGATCGCTGAACTTTTTTTCTCAGCGATCAGCGGTGCGGTTGTCCTTTTTCTCTAGCACGTAGGTTATACAGTGCACGGAGTATTTTAATTTTTTACTGAGCAAATCTTACTTTGACATACATTGACATTGAGAGGTCATGAGGCATTTTGCCTGCGTGTAGACGTCTCCTATTTCCTTTGCGTGCAACAAAGGAAATAGGAGACGTCTGCACGCAGGCAATGAGGCATTTAGTAATTGTTTTGTGGTTTCCGGTGTGGTTTGCACAGGATTAATTTGATCTCAGATCATCTCAGATGCAGTTTTAGACTGGAGCGCGATGTCTTATACTAATAATTCCTTCATTTTGAATTATTTGAAGCTTTATCATAGTTGGCTTTACAGTCTTTTTAAAGCACTCGCTACACTCACTTCCTTAAAATCACATTCGTCCACAAAACGTACACGCGCGTCGTTTCCCTACGGCTTCAGTTTACAATTTGATTCGCGAACGTCGCGAAGCATTGCGTGGGACTTCGCCCATCTGTCAGCAATGAGCATATGATTGGCTCTCTTGGGAACTACGGATCTAGGAGAAGATCTAAAAATATATTTAGAGGGGTTACGATGGGTACAGGGCCTATATGGGGGATTCATTCTCTGTGCCTTATTCTCTCTTGGTTGTTACGTAATCCATTGGGAGGATTGTAATTGGCCGGGATCGAGGTTCAGTCGGCTCGTCCTCACTCAATCCAAACTTGGGAATACGTAACAATCTTTCTGTTACGTATCCACATTTCATATCGCTGATGAAATTCGAGCACAGGCGCAGAGGGGTTATTTGTGACCTTGGTTGCAGTTAAATTTTTCAGTTGATAGCACGATTGACATTCTTTGGGATGATAAATTTTAGAACCTTCTATTTCACCACCACTCTCATAGATTTATTCAAATAAGTTAAAGACCACGGTCTTAACTGTTAGCACACTAGAGGATTTAAACAGATTACGGGCGTGTGAGGCTCGGGCGCTTCGCGCGCGTAAGACTCTTACGGCACGCTTTACCGATTTCTTTACTGATTTTGAGAAAAAAACCGACTGTTTTGCAGTCTAGAAAAAGTGATTTACGTGGCACGTCATTTCAGTCATCGCCGAAAATAAATGGCATGCTCATCACAAGAGCCATTTGCATTCAGTGAAAGTTTACAACACCCGACCATAGCAATTTTGCTAATTAAGATTCTTATTTTTTTCAACCACTCAGTAGTGTTCACTTGTTCCAAAGTAATCAATGCTTTCAAGCGATAGAATTCGTGGACCGACACGTTTCGGAAAAGGTCTAAATTTAATCTTTCCTCAGCTTTCTTCGCAAAACATGCGTGGCTTCGATCACGCAACGATTTTTAGTCCCAGTTTCCACGGTCTCCGCAAGGAACGCCTGGCACAATGACCTCCCTTTTGTGTCCTAAATACGACCAAAAATTCTGGGGGGTACCTCCAGAAAAATTGGTTGTGGGTGTGCAGCACGCTTCCTGAAACCCTGTGATTTTCCCTACCCTATTTCAGACCTGATCCAAAATTTGATACCCTTTTTCAGACCTGAAGCCCTGGAGCCCGGCGCGTCTCTCCCCAGGTCTCGCTCTCTGTTTTCAGCCTCATTCCAGACCTTTTCTTTGACTACTCGCGCGTACTTGGGTACGCAAAAATACGGACTGTTTTGCAGTCTAGGCTTTTTCGTACATGCAGTACAGCCAAAGTTACGAAGCATCAAACACAAAGGGATAAGATCTTGAAAAATGGGTGCGAGCCTCCTTAACCAGGAAACAACAATGAAGAATGGTTTTTTTGTTATGTAATTAACAAATATGAGAAAACGTTGTCCCAGTTTTTCAAATGACGCTAAAATACTATATGAGGTGTAGTAAAATACACCTCATTACCTTTTATTTATATTTTTGCTAATCAGCGCTCTTTGCTAAAATTGCATCGTACCTTGACCGTGCTGACATTGAGTAGTACTATCACCATCATCACTCCTTGTTGCATCGCACGTCAAGATTGTTTTCCACTGAATTGATTCATAATTGAAGTTCTCGCGTTCCTTTGCGCATTCGTTGTTGTTGTTATTGTTGTTGTTGTTGTTGTTATTGTTATTGTTATTGTTGTTATTGTTGTTGTTGTTATTGTTGTTGTTGTTGTTGTTATTGTTATTGTTGTTGCTGTTGTCTTCACAATTCTTAATACACTCTTTCTTCTCTTTCTTGTTTTTTCCTTCACATTTCTTCTTGCATTCCTTGTTTCCTTTTTGTTTCCCTCTTTTGACTCTGGATCCTTCGTTTAAACAAACAGTTATTAATATTGAAAAAATGAGTAAAAATGAAATGCAATTTGCATCATATTTTTATTGAAACTGAAACCAAAAGATCTCTCTAGACTAACGCGTTTTAGCCTTGCGTGTAAAACTGAATTTTTCGAAGAAGAAGTTGTATGAAAACGTAGCTTTTCGAACCGTATACTCTCGAAAGTGGAGAACATTTAAATCTTATTTCAGTGGTTTAAGGTAGGGTAAGACGGGCAACGTTTTTGCAACACCGGCTGCAAATCGAGTTGAAGAGCGATTTTGCGCGTTTTTCCAACCACGAATCAAACCTGTTTTGAACCAATTAGGTTGTTGCAGGTTGTGTAAAGTTGTTGAAAAGGAGAGAATAGTTCTACAACATCGCTATTCATCAACTCATTTTGCAGGAATATTTGCAACATTGTTGCAAAACGAGTTGAATAGCCATGTTGCGCGTTTAACCACCCACGAATAAAATCTTTCTTGCAATAAATCTGGTTGTTGCAAGTTGCGTGAATACTGACTTCTGATTGGATGAAATTACGCGGGACTCGCGCCATGCACGGGAGTTATGTCACTTGCTGAAAAAAAAGTTAGCCCTTTGGTCGGTAAAACTCGCAACATGTACAGATTTTGTTGCAAAAAGTAGAACTACTCTCTACTTTTTGCGACAAATTTTCACAACCTGCAATGACCTGAATTGTTCCAAGATATGTGTAAAAGTGGCTAGCAAAACGCCCAACATCGCTATTCAACTCCTTTTTGTAGCAATTTTGCAAAACAAGTGCACATTTTACCGAACATGTACTTTAAGCAACGACGATAGCGGCGACAACGAAAATAAAAAAAGGAAAAGACTTAGATTAGCAAGACAACAACTCTACATGTGTATCATTCTGTCTTGCCTTTACTACACGACTACGACTGAAAGAACTTAATTTCACGTTTTGTGGAGGACGAGACAAGACAACGAGTTTCTTTTCCTGAAATTCAATACAGTCTTTTAGAATTCAACTCCAGAAGCATTTGCCAACATTTGGCGAATTGAACGAGATAGAATAAGCGAGATAAAGTGAGTTTTTAAGCAGCGGGAATTCACTGTAAGTTAAAGAGACGCTTTCGTAGCCTGTTGCCGTCGTTGTTGAGTAAGCTTCCTCTTTACAAACTTTTGGTGTCGATGATTGTGTCAGTCAGCCAATAAGATCTTCAACGTATTATTGATGCATACTTCTAGCAGGTATACCACAAGTAGCCCAGGTAAGAAAAATGACCATAGGGTTTGTTGCTACGCAACAGCCAGAACATTAATAGGATTTGTTTGGGAAACTCGCTATGGCGAGTTATTACGGTTAATCTTACCTGATGAGCATGAATTTTCCGCTTTGTGTTTATCGTTGGTTATTCCACAATCGCCGTTTCGGTTAAATGTTTCGCACATGTACTCCAGCTTTAATCTCCATTTATCGGCGTCCAAATCAGGGTTGGCCAATGTCCACATAATAGGCACTTCAGTGCGGACATCGTCAGTCGTTTTAAATTCCTGGTCATAGAACAATTACATGATTATCAAGAAGGCTGTGCCACGAAATTTGAAAAAAAAAACAAAAAAAAAAACAGTGGATTTAACCGCTACTAAACGGAATGATTCTTGGTTTGCAACAACGTGACAAGGCGGCCATGTTGGGGGTCAATACAATAGAACTTTTTCTCGAAGAATTGAAATGAAAATAGAGTTTAGTTCCCAGAGGAGAGAAATGCTTTTGTTCTTGACCGCCAACATTGCCGTCGTGACGTCACCTGCAGACCAGCAATATATGAAAATAACTGCTCAATAAACATGAAGAGATGGTATAAAATAACACAGCAAATAAAAAAGGAGGAACGGCATTGGCAAACTCACAGAAGGTTGAGGCCCCGTTAACATGTATCCGTTTTCGTTTGAAAACGGAGGTTTTTTTCTTCCGGTTTGGCCTACCGTCCACACTTATCCAGTGAAAACGGTCAACGAAAACGCATCTTTTCAAAAACGTTCTCTGAAACGCGGGCTTCTCGTATACGCCTGGACGGACGAAAACAGAGATTTTCGAAATACATGCGATGATATCATAAATTAACTTACTTTAACAATACGCATGCTCTGTGAGGGATGCTATCTTCCATCATTTTAGCGTTTTCGTATGGACGGGCGAAATCGATTCTAATATGCTTTGTGTGGACGCGTATCTTTTTCAAAACAGGTTTGCGTGCTTTTAGCCAATTCTGATTGGCTAAAAGCACACGCATAGTTCACCACAACCAGTTACTGATGACCAAATTTGGAAGAATTTTGTGTTTAACGAGGAAATGATGTTAAAAACGCAGCCAGCTACAGGTTAAGGCACCGTTACCGAGAAGACCTGGGGACGAGGTTGAGTTGTTTTGGTTGAGAAAAAAAAATGGCCGACATTTCACTCGTTTCAAGAGTAAGAACTACAGCTGGAACTAGGCGAAATATTAGCTAAAAATATGGCAAAAACAGCAAGAAGACAACTTGGAGGGCGACATCTCCAATTTGGAGAACTTTGTTTGCGGAGCTGGATAAACTTAAACGTACAATCGAAGATGAACTTAACAGCGATACAGGTAAGCATGTTTTAGCTATGTTTTGAAACTAGGAATTATTTGGAATGAATAATAAAGCAATTAATGAATGAGGCTGAGTAGGATATGAAGAATTAAGGTGGCTCCGTAATTAATACTGCAGCATTTAGCTGGGACAAATTTTCCGTCATAACTTTTTCGTTTTTAACGCCATGGCTGCGAAACTTTGCAAAGAACAACAGATATCATTCGGCAATAGTACGAAATAATCCGATTTCATTGATGGTAAATATTTCTTGAGAAATTAGCGCTTAAAAGGACCCTACTGTTTAAAGAAAATCGCTTCTAGTAAAAAATTTTGCAGATATTTTTTACTGAAATTTCTGGTATCGGCTTTTATTGATATAATAAATATGTTGGAGAAATTTCAGAAAAGTCGTTGGAGCGGAAGTCCGTTAGTAAAAGTCGCTCAAAATTTAGCTGTGAAATTGTTTTGGAATTTCAAAAATTACTATCAGGTAGAAGAAGACACCAGTTCGAATTTTCGGGACAAGTAAATTCAATGTTTTCTAATTCTTAAAACAAAAGCTGATTGCTTATCGTGCTATTCTTTAAAAGGTACTTTTTAGTTTTAGAGGCACTATCATGATTCCTCCAAACCTTGCTCTGACGTCGAATGACTTGTTCCTCGACATTTTTAAAATATCCCTTAGCAGTTTTGGTTCAAACTCCTGCTACATACTTTTTAATGTATTGCAATGCATCCTCTACGGCTTTTCCTGCTGTACGTTAATTTTGCTAATTTAGCAGAGTATATTTACCCTCAATGAAATCGGAATATTTCGTACTGTTGCCGAATGATATCTGCTGTTCTTCGCCAATTTTCGCAGCCATCGCGTTAAAAACGAAAAAGGTATGACGAAAACTTCGTCACAGCTAAATGAACCTATATTTATTACGGAGCCACCTTAAGAAGATCGAGGAGTGTGTTATCGATGGATAACACCCTCCTCGCTCTTCTTAATTCTTCATATCCTACTCAGCCTCATTCATTAATTGCTACTTATTGTGTTGAATTAAGGTAAAAAAAAAAACAATGCAAAAACCGTGTACGATCAATCTTGCTCACCGTCGAATCCAAAAAGATCGTGATCAGACAAAATAGATCAAACTGAAAACGTTACAGTCAAGAAGACTTTGCAGGGACTGATCAAACAACGTGACATAGAGTTTAGTTGTGATATTTCGACTGGCCAATACCAGTCTTCATCAGGTCACCTGATGATGACCCTGCAAAAGTCTTCTTGACTGCTAATTATTATTCATTTAAAATATTTCCCCGAGTCTGATTGGCTAAAAGCACACGCATAATTCACCATAACCATCTACTGATGACCAAATTTGGAAGAATTTTGCGTTTAATGAACCGATGACGTCAAAAGTCCAGCCTTCTTGCAGGTTAATGCACCGTTAACCGAGAAGACCTGGGGACGAGTTTGAGTTGTTTTGGTAGTGCAAACAAAAATGGCGGATGTTTCACTCGTTTCAAGAGTAAGAACTAGGCGAAATAATAGCTAAAAACATGGCAAAAACAGCAAGAAGACAACTCGAAGGGCAATATCTGCTATTTGGAGAATATTTACGGTGCTGAACAACCCTAAACGTGCACTTTCGAAGATGAACTTAACATCGATGGATCGATGGAGGTAATCATGTTTTAGCCATGTTTTTAAACTGGGAATTATTTTGAATGAATAATAAAACGACTATTGAATTTGGCTTTCGTATCATATGAAGAATAATGGAGATCTCGGGGGGTGTTATCCGTCGAGTCCTCATTCATTAATTGCTAATTAATTAATCAATTAACACCCCTTTCAATTTTGGGACCGTCTCCTTGTCAGACACTTCGGATACTTAAGAAAAAATATGAAAAAAAAAAAAATCATAATTATAAATACCACTCACCATCCGAAACTCTTTATTATTTTTGTCCACCCCGATATTGTAGCCACACTTAGGGTTATTCTGTAGAATGCACAATTCATTATTAAAAATATTGAAGAAGATGACTTATAGACCCCTATCAACATTGCACTCGATTTCCAAATACTACTGCGCTTCTTCTGTGGTACTGATATTGTTTGCTAATATACACCTTATCACTGATGGTTAACTTAGTAACCTCAAAGTTCCTTCTACATGGGCTCGCGCGCTCTATATGAAAGGACTGCGGTACAAGAGAAACCTTTTATAAAAGAGGCTGAGCCTCCTGTTCTATCGAATCCCTCCCCCGGGGGCGAGGGGTACCTGGATTAATTTTTGATGGGTATGTCCACCTGGTCTCTCAAAGCCCCTACCCCATTATAGTCTATTCTGTGGCCAGTTATAGACCCCATCTTAGTCACTTTTGGGCAAATATGTAATTTTCGTGATCCCAACTTAGTCGCTTTCTTTTTATGTATCTTCCTTATACTGAATGAAGATTGATTGAAGAACTCTTTACTTTTCACCTACAGTAAATATGAAGAACTGTCTTACCCCTAAAATCAGAAAATGTGTGACCCCATTATAGTCAATCCAGTTATGAAAATGCGACCCCATCCAGCGGCACATTCCCATTAGCCTCTTATAAGGAAGTGCAGCCCCTCCCCCCCCCCCCC